CGAGGCATTTTAAGGACCCTGTGTTTCTATTGTGACTATGAATAATGCCTACACAAATCTAAATATAGAACATTAGGACTTAGGTTTTGAGGGGAAAAAATGGTGCAGTTTTTTGTGCCTGTGTTAACATTCTGCCCCAAAACCTTTTAAGAAAGCCAAATATTGATATTTGGTGTTCTGCGTATTCTAAAAGACTGATTTTTATAGTGCCAATGCAGCACTCATTTAAATAGGTCTTAATATTGATATCTCCCACACTCGCAAGCATCATATTCAAAAGATCATTAGAATTTCACAATGGAAACAGCGGTCAATGCAATGTTCAATTAAATTAATATCTTCTACACTTGCTGGGCACGTATTCAAATGTTAGCAGAGTTCTGTGATGGAAAACGTAGCCACTCTCTGTGTTAGCCGCACCGCATCTTTTCATGCGCTCAGAATGTGTCATGCACCCACCCGTCCTGGTACACAATTCCAGAGGGGTGAATTCAGAAAAGCTTAGTTTGCTGTATTAAATGCTTTGAGTCTTTAACCATCTTAAACGAAGACTGCAAAGCGAAGAAACTGGGATTGCAAAACACACAATACAGCATTCAGATTGGCTGCATTTTGGACTTAGGTTTATGATCTAAGTGCTGCACACACATACTCTGCTGCATAATGAGAACAAAGACCTCAAAAGCATCCACTGAAAAATCTTTTCTTTCCTCTGGGTGCAACCATTCTTTGTAATGTTTTAAAACCACTTAAGTAAAACAGGACCGGTAAGAAATTAATCAACATAAAATAGAGGTGACTTTAAGACACAGCTGCACGCTCAATTAAATAGTACTTTTCTCGGGGTTTTATTGAAAGGCACTTTTGTGCCTACCTGCCTGCCTGTCCTAAATCCGTTAGGGTGTGTAATGATGGTATAAGGAGGAGACATTCTGTTAGCTTTTTAAACCATCTTTTCTTCCCTACCCATGGTAATTAGTCTGTAAGTACCTTAATAAACGTAGTTACTCAAAATGACAGAAATCTACCTTGTAATTAAAATGCTTGTTAAAAGCTTTTAGTATGTTACTGTTTAATACACCGGGCAGTCAACTACAAGTTGAGAGAACACTTGTGGCCACTTTTTTGTGGTTATTAATTTAGCATGCCTAGATTGAAATTTGTATTAGCGTAGCCCAAAATAGGAGGGTGTTTGGTTAACAGTTTAAACGCCTCCTCACAAAGCCCTTGTACTCTGGAAACCGCCTTTTGGAAATCCCCCGGGGAGGATGCTTTGGGGAGTTGTTTTAGATATTGTCTCATGGTTACTTTAAAACGGAATGTTGCCGTCTTTGGAACACAGTAACCCTTGGTAGGGAGACAGGTGTGTGATGCAGGGTTCTTCCAGTCCATGTTCCCATGCTTTGAACAAAGAGGGGAGAGAGGAGAGGAGTGTGGGGATCATGGCTATGTGTGATACAGCACTCTTCAGGGGAGTGTGCAATGTGACACTGTGGCTGCACAGAAGAATCTTTTCAGTGGCGTTCTTAACCTTAGTGCTTGCACTAACCTATCGAAGCACAACTGTGAGAACATCAGGTTACTGTTATTCCAGAAAGTCAGATAATGTGTGTGACATGTCTGCAGGCAGAGTGCACAGGGACATTTCTCTGCCAGGGTGGAGGCAGCTTGTTGATCCTACTGGGTCTGTGTGGAAGGTAGATGGTGAGTCTGCGGATGCCTGCCTGGTTTTCCTGGTTGTCATCAGAAAACTAGTGTGTGGTGCTGAGTTGTACTGAGATGTGCAGGGTGGCGGCAGCCTGTACTGTCTCCTGAGAGGCTCACAGTGGCCTCAAGCAGCACCCACCCCAACCCCACTTTATCATGGTCAGGTAGTTCTTAATGACAGCTTCATCTGACTGCATGGACTGCTTGAAGTCAGAGAAAGAATACTTCACTGGATACCATGTTCAAAGCATCTAGCAAACCTTCTTTCCAATATGTTTTGCCTAATGAGTACATGTTCCCAAGGGTAAATTACCTATAAAGCAAGAATTATATTTCGCATATGAGGGATTATACATAGCATTTTGGTTCTGAAACAGCTGTGATTATTTCCCATGTGGGTTGGCTCCTGAATTCCTTTATGCAACTGAATAAAATGGGGGCTAGCTGTAGATGTGTCTGTAATCAGTCTCATTGATGTGTTCTGCATTGGTAAAAATCAGCTATGGGAGCAAAAGGTTCAGAAGTCAGGGATGAGCACCACAAAGGGAGCTAAGGGAAAGAACCCTCAAATAACAGTGTGTGCATGTTATGTGGCAGGCAGAATATAAGGCAGCCTAAATGGTTAGCTTGTTTAATTGTAAATTAATAATTTACTTAAGGAAACATAGCTTGAAGATGACAGCAGTTTTTGACACTAGTTAGTGTAAATGCCCTCTGAAATAGTCTCAGGAAGCCTCAGGTTTTACTTTCATAAGTAGTGTGTGTTGCTAAGCGTAAACAAATGGAACCCGACATCTCATGATATGTGATGCAGTAGATATAACAAAGACCCAGGAAATAATATAGCTAATTGTATGTAGTTTATCTTTGAGCAGTGGTGGTTTAATTTTTTTTATCTTTCTGTTTAGCTTTCTAGATTTTTCTGCCATACATGTGTATGCTATGCTTATAAGGAACGCTTATATTTACTCCTTGTAGCTAACAGTTGGTTGCTATTATCTTGATCAACCTCAGTGTTTGCGGTAATGGTTGAAGTGTTGTACCTAATTTGGATTTCCTAGGGTTGACTCTGGAAGAGATTTGTCAAACTATATGGCTTCTTGATGAGCCATCTCTGTATAAATTGAGAGGAGCAAGATTTTTGAAAATTCTAACTAGGCCAGTTCAGTTCTGAGTTGCATTTCCAACACTCCAGAAAGAAGAGCTCACACCTCCTCTCTAGACTTACAAGTGAGCTTTCATAGTGAAACGGAAGGTTTCAGAGTCTACTAAAGATAACAAAATCATTGTTTTACATTTTTGATCAAGTATTTAATTGTCCTTCGTTTATATACCGGAAAACTGCATTATTCTGAGTGTCCCAGCTTGCTTTCTGTTGCTCTGATAAAACCCCATGACCAAAAGCAACTTGGCAGAGGAAAGGGCTTAGTCCCTTTTGCATGTCCAGGTAAAGTCTGTCACCTGGAGAAATCGGGGTGGGAACCTGGGGCAGTGCTGTTGATTGCCTTCCTCTCCCTGGCTTGTTTGGTTTGCTTCCTTACATGACCCAAGGATCACATGCCTGCATCAGTCATTAAGAATGTTCTATGGACCTGCCTATATAGGCAATCTGATGGAGGCATGCTCTTTCTTCCCCCCCAACCCCCCCTTTTTAAATGTGCATGAGTGCTATTCCTCTTTGTGTGTACTACATGCATGCATGGTGGTCATGGAAGCCAGAGAGAGTGTTGGATCCCCTGGAACTGGAGTTACAAACAGTTGTGAGCTACGGTGTGGGTACCAAGAATAGAACCCAGGTCCTCGGGAAGAGCAGCTGGTGCTTTTAACCACTGAGCCATCTCTCCAGTCCAGGAGGAAGTTTTCTCAGTTGAGGATCCTCTTCCCAGATAGCTCTAGCTTTTGACAAAACAACAGCAAAAAACAAACCAGGACATTGAGTATTGGAAACTATTGAGGCATATTAACCATGCCTGGTAGGGAGATTTTCAGATTCAAAGGGAGGCTTTACATTAAGAAGTCCTATCTATATGGTCCCTCATTAATTCTCTGACTTCTGTGGCTATTCCAAATGAAACACACATACCTAAAGAGTCTAAGATAACATCCATAAAAGAGAAAACATGTGATAGTTGTCTTTCTGGGTCTGGGCTACTTCAGAGCGATCATTTCCAATTCTATCTGGTTACGTGAAACTTTTCGCAATTTCACTTTTCAAAAACTGAGTAACATCCCATTGTGTAAATGTACCACATCTTCTTTATCCATTCACCCACTGATAGACACCTAGGTTGTTTCCATTTCTTGGCCACTGTGGATAGAGCAGCAGAGAACACAGTTGAGCAAGCACCTCTGTAGTAAGACATAGAGTCCTTTGGAGGAAATGCCCAGCAGTGGTGTGGCTGGGTCACACGGCTTATCTATTCATGGCTTTGTGAGGGACCCCCAAACTAATTTCCATAAAAGCTACACCAGTTCACACCCACACAAGCACTGTTCCCCTCTCCCTCCATCCCCACCACCATTTGTCCTCAGGTGCTCTTTTGTGTGAATCTTAGCTGTCCAGACTGCGGATAAAGTATTTCCCTATTGTGGTAGCAGATGATTGCAGTGTCTGGATGGACATAGGCATAGTCGACTCAGGAATGTAAATGGTGACGTTGTCAGGCAGAGAACTCCACGCTGACCTACTTTCTGTTCCCTGATTGGGGAGATGATCAGTAGATGCTGCAGTCCCTGACAACTAACGCTTCTTAGACTTTCCTTCTGCGTGTATACAGCTTCGGAAGCAATTTACTCAAATTTTGGGGTTCCCCAAATCCCTGGATCTTTAAACAGTTGATCATTATTATATATTTGTTTTTAATAATGATAAACCGACTGATAAAAGAATTCAATGTTAAACTTGGAATCAGATACAAAAAAGAAGACATTGTATTATTATCTGAAATGTATGTGTATATATACATGTAATGTACATAATATATATAGACACACACACACACACATATATATTCTATGTGATAGCGACTGGATATTAAAACGAAGTTGAAACTCAGTTTCTCATTCATACTAACCTCATGTCTCATGCTTCATAACCATATGTGACAGTGGACCCTGTCACAACACAGATTGTTATAACTGTCCAACCCTGGAGAAAGTAACACTGATAATAACACATAGTCATGATTATGTGAACATTCTTTGGGTGTAATTCCCTGTGTCTTGGGGCATGCTTGTGTCGTGACACTTAAAATGTCCTTTGTTCTTACTACAACCCTCCTTGTGTCTTTCAGTTTAAAAGGATGCTGAATCGGGAGCTCACTCATCTCTCTGAAATGAGTCGGTCTGGGAACCAGGTGTCAGAGTACATATCGAACACATTCTTAGGTGAGACCAGCCGCGTTCAAAGTAAACCTTGCCTTAGGCTTCTTTGCTTGCTTATGTTGAGAGGCCAGTTAGAGCTTAACTCAGTTTGGAAACCAAATGTGTGTGAGAAATTCTGTTGTTACTGCATAATGTTAGTAAGTTGAGACTTAAAGTCTCTAAGCCCCAGAATCAATCTGGGGTGGCGTAGTATATTTTATTTATTTGATCTGCAGTGCGATGTAGCAAGCCCACAGCCTAGCACGTGCTAGGCAAGCACTACACACACCACTGAGCCACCTCTCTAGCAAGGTCTTTTCATAATACTAAATTATGAAATATTCATCACAATATTTATTTGTTCATGCATCAAACTTTTTTTTTTTAAGGCCACCATTGCTGGGCACTAGGGAAATTAGAAATACTACCTGCCAGCAGGTACAGGCTCAATTCCTAAGGGATGCTTTCTGATTTAGCCAAGTAGGGCCTTGTGAGACAGCCCTTCTAACCTTAAATGTAGAAAGAAGTTGCAATAAGTGAAAACAAATTTTAATTCCTCCTTGATAGAGGGATTTACTTTCAAAACAAATTAGTGTGTATTAAGGAGTGAATTCCTCCTGTACAGGTGTTTGTTGAACCTACTGTTCAAGGATGAGTTAAGCTGCTTCACAGAGATGACCGCATTAAGACACCTTATGTCTATAGCTTTTACTGTAGACATTAGCATAGGTGCCTCTCAGTTACGTAATGTTTTGGATAGTCTGTGGTCCCTACAAGACTTGGCTGCATTGTAAACATTCCCTTCCTATTACACAGTGAGACAACATAGAAGAAGTCCTCAACTCACTCTGAGATGCAGCTTAGGCTCTCACAGTGTGACTCCCTGTAGTCATTTAGCTCCCAAGTTCATAGGCTGCTGTTCTTGATATATTTGCATGTGAAGCGTCTACCATTTTAAAGTAAATGTTGAAACTGGAGAGCTTAGTTGGAAAAGCATTTTGCTCTCTTTCAGCTGGCTATCATAGCTTACCGTCATCTGAGGATAGTCCAGCAAGAGGTCTTTCAAATAAAGTAGAATTTGTTTCATTTTGTGTTTGAGGACATCAACTTGTGTTCAACTCTGAAAGGGAAACTAGTCTTTGGAATCACTTTCTAGAAAGTATAGTGATCAAGGACCCTTTGTTCATTTATATGTTATGTGATTAAAAATTAAAGTTGAAGTAATAGTAAATATTGGATGCTTTCTGAATTTCTTAAGATAAGCAACATGAAGTGGAAATACCCTCTCCCACGCAGAAGGAAAAGGAGAAAAAGAAAAGGCCAATGTCCCAGATCAGCGGGGTCAAGAAGTTGATGCATAGCTCCAGCCTGACTAACTCATGCATCCCAAGGTTTGGGGTTAAAACAGAACAGGAGGACGTCCTGGCCAAGGTATAGTAATTTCACAGACTGTGGTGTGATTCCCCCCCCCCTTTTTTTCTTTCCTTTAAACAGATGGAAAACTTCATTAATGTTTAAGATCTTAAGAACTATTTTTGAGTCAGGCATAGTGGAGCATGTCTTTAATTCCAGCACTCAAGAAGGCAGAGGCAGGTAGATCTCTGTGAGTTTGAAGCCAGTCTGGCCTACGTAGCGAGAACCTAATTTGTTTTGTTTAAGTGTGTATGTATGTGTGCCTGAGTGTGTGTGCAGTGCCAATGGATGCCTGAAGTGGGCACCCCTGTACCTGGAGCTAAGAGAGGTGTGAGCCACCTAGAATTGGTTGCTGGGAGCTGAACTCAGGTCCTCAGGAAGAGCAACAGTTGCTTTTAACCTCTGAGCCATTTCTCCAGTCCTAGATTTGAAGGTGGGAAAAGTCACTTCAAAAGCTGTGTAAGTTATTAGAATTTTTATTAATATGTAGATTTAGACATCTGGTCTGCTTGGTGTGTCTTGGTTTGTTGTTTTTTGCTTGCTTGTTTGTTTACAAGTTAGAAATCTGTCATTACTTCTGAAGTTTAGAGTAGGGAGATTCTGTAAATTGTTCTATTGAAGTGAAAGCATATGAATATAATTTACTATCAGAATAATGTTTTCAGTTTAAGTGAATTTGCCTTACATTTAACTGTTTACATGTCACATCCTTTTAAAATGAGGTGTTTTGTTTGTTTGTTTTTTTTTTTTTTTTTTACTTTAGCAGTGTTTCTCATTAAAGTCAGTCATTTTCATATACTCCTGTTTATTGTCACCTCTTGTCCAACTGTGTCCTATGGGTGCTTTTCTTCACCCCAGGAACTAGAAGATGTGAACAAATGGGGTCTCCATGTTTTCAGAGTAGCGGAGCTGTCTGGTAACCGGCCTCTGACTGTTATCATGCACACCATCTTCCAGGTACTGCCCTTGAGTTTCTTCTAGCCAGGGGACTACATATGAGTCATTTTCTGCTGCTGTGAAAATATACCCAAGCAAATTATTCCAGAAGGAGGAGGGATTCATTTTGGCTCACAGTTTCAGGGAGTCTTAGTCAGCTACTCCAGTGCCCTGAGGCTGTGATAAGGCAGACAACATGGCAGAGTAAGAGCTCAGCCTTTTCAAAGGTATGCTCACCTGTTAGCGATAACGCCTCAGTGAAGAGGCATTTAACCCAAACTGTCCAGCCTTATTCTACTCATCCCCTGCAGCTTCTTTTGATGTCTGTTTTATTGCTCCTTTATAAGGGACACATAATAATAAATGGGAGTGTGTGTAAAATACAAATAATTGCATTTTTTTCTATTTAAGAAGCATGGGAGAAATAATCTATTAACACTAGTTAGAAAATCGTCTTTTCTAAACAAACAAGCCCCTGCTGATTCACACGGACTATAGTTGTTTGAGTATATTTTTAGTAGTCTGCCACTGTTTCTGTATCCCTCCCTTGCTCTTGCCTCTGTACTTTGTCAGGATGGGATGTAACTGAGAAGCTGGGGCTGGTACCTTGGCATTAGATGGGAAACTCCAGGCTGAGAGCAAGCATGGGCTCATCTGGCGTGACTGAAGGGCCAAGCCAGCAGCTGCATTGTGCTGTGGCTGCCTACAGGAGCCTAGGGCTGGCAGCCCACCCCTCACACTGTACCTCAGATGCAGAACTGTTGGTCTCAGGAGGACAGCTCAGCGGTGGGTTGCTGCCAGAATTTCTACACCTCTCGCTGTTTCCTTCAGCGAGACAGTGTGAAAAAACACTGTCAGTTTTGGGTTGTGTAGGCAGCCCCTCACTCTAGGGAGTGAGTTTTAGTAGAAAGACAAAGATGCTAAGAGGATTTCTTTTCTTACAGGAACGAGATTTATTAAAAACATTTAAAATTCCAGTAGACACCTTAATTACGTATCTCATGACACTGGAGGACCATTATCATGCTGATGTGGCCTATCATAACAACATCCATGCTGCAGACGTCGTCCAGTCTACCCACGTGCTACTGTCTACACCTGCTTTGGAGGTCAGGCTGTCTTCTAAGTTGTCTAAGTCGCTAGCACTCAAAGAGCTCTTAAACTTGGATGTTAGAGGGTTTTTGGTACAGACAGCAACTAAGTTCCTTGGAAATACTTTAAGGAGAAAATTGTTAATAAACAACAGATCCTTTGATGAATTCTGTCTGTGAGAATTGGTCAACAGTTTGGGGCTGCATCTGTTTATCATACTGCTTCTTTGAAATGGCCCAGTGGACTCTGAGCACACACACATATGGCTTGTTGACTTCCTGTCGGGTGCTTTTCCAGAGCTTTAGTCTGATGGCTCTAGTTCAAAGGAAAGACATAAGCAACGCATTAATACTTTCTAAGAATTTATAGAAGGAAATGCCTTTTTAAATTTTCCAAATCCTAAGAAGTTGTCCCGTTAAGTGTTTAATGAAGGGATTTGATCTCCACAATCATCTGGGGGAAAGATTCCCCTTTGTTATATAGTGGATGTTCCTTTCATTGTAAAGCTCTGCTTATACCTCATTATTTGGCTGAGTGGCTCTTAGCTGGGGATGATTTCTGTCTTGCTCTCCTCCACTCCTCCACCCAGGGACATTTGGGGAATTTCTGGAGACATTTTTGGTTGTATGGTAGCATGTTGTGAATAAGGGTGAGGAATTGGCTAAATGGCACAGTAACATTCACGGTGCTCTAACCACAGCGTTGACGGCACTGAGGCTGAGAACTGGTCATCTGGGTGACAGGAAGATGAAAGAAAGAAATTCCCTTTCATAATTCAGTGGGCGTTACTGATTACATGTGTTCTCTGTGTATCGTAAAGTGAGTTACATATAGGCTCGTATTTCCTTTTTATCACATTTCAGATACTCTTAATATGCTTTTAAGTATAATCAACAGGAGAGGCCTTGTCGTGATGTATATAGCGAAGTCAGATGAAACACTTAGCTTTGAAATTTTAAAACGCATCCGAAAGGCACTTCTCGATGGTACTGCCCAGCCTCACCCGGGGTTCATTTCACTTGTTTTTACGGTATGCTCACTCTAGCTTCTTGGGATAACACAGTAATATTTCCTGTGCTGTTGGTGTCCAGGCTGTCTTCACGGACTTGGAGATTCTCGCGGCCATTTTTGCCAGTGCAATACATGATGTGGATCATCCCGGTGTGTCAAACCAATTTCTGATCAACACAAGTAAGTGAAGCCTGATTTTAAAATATATGCATGTGTCTGAGTGGTTTTCATAAGTCCATGTTCCTCCAGGGCCATAAGGTGCTTTTGACATGTGTAAACATGTTTTAGAAATATCATGGCCTCCCACGAGACAGGCAGTTGGTGTGTGAAAATCATCCGTGTGCTCTAGTATGTCTCTAAAAGTCATTTATTATCATGTCTCTGCAAAAGACAATCAAAGGTGGGCGTGTTCAGCGGGGCGGGCAGCCTGTTCACTCTGTAGATTACCATTGATCCCCCAGAAACTCTTTTCAGAGGTCTCCGTGGAAGTAACAGGAACGTAGTTTCTAGCCTCTTGCCTTGAACAATTCACTCTCCTTTTAACCCCCTGCAACCTCTCAGTGTGTAAGAAGACACCGGTGTGTCTAGTGATGACGTAAGGTGTGGTAGAGATCTGGTTGTGGTCTCCCTGATACACAGCAAACATCTGTAAGGGCATCTGGAGGAGGCTTTTCCCCTTCCTCAGAAGGGTTTAACGTTATATAAATAGTACTTGTTACTTGACATTACTAGATAAATGACTTAAATGTACTAGGCCTTAATTCATTCCCGTTGTGCTGTGGTAGACTGACATCATAAATTTCCCTTTATATAAAGAGAAAAGTGAAGCAAGTCTTTTTCATGGTAAGAAACTGTCATCCTTCTGCCTCAAACTGTGGGTGGGAATCTGTCCATGAGCTGTGGGAATCTGGCTATCCTAGTATCGGAGCTTTCACAACCTCCAACTTTATGGTAAGCAGGATTTAAAAGAAGGTAAATGGGACAGTACCTTGAGAGGCTTAAGTCAGGGCTGCCAGAAAAGATCCACAGTTGTTATCTTCAGGTAGCCCCTGTGGAAACAACACAGTATAGTTAGCGATTCAGAGATGGAGCGCAAGCCTCCTGGGATGTGTGGCTGGGAGACAACATTTCGGATCTTAGCGTTTGGAGGGACTTACTGATCACACAGGTTCACATTCCCATTGCTGTATGAGAGCCTGGAACAGGGCTCTAACAGACTCAAACCCTTTACGTAACTGCTATCATCATTGAACCCCCTGGCTTGCATTGTGCTGGTGCTCAAGGTAGCATTTTCTGAAAAAGGCTGGCAGGTCACTTGGTGCAGTGTGCCATGGTACTTTCCAGAAATCTGGCCCACTTCAGTATTTTGAGGCGTAAGCACTTCTCCTTACAGATTTCAACAAACACGTAAATGTACCTCATTTATAATTCTTGACATTTAAGAAAGACATTTTCTTTAAGTTAGTACATCAAATACTTTGTATTCTGTCTCATAGGCTATTCTATGTTCCCTTATAGTGACAGCAGAATTACAATCAGAGGGACACAAAGTTAAGCCAGAATAGAGTCAGTCTTCAAGTGTTCTACTGTACCTTTTAAGGAGAACAGGGACAAGTTCTGTTCCTTCCCTGAACCCTCCAAACACCGTCAGGCCTTGGCTGGCACCTGAGGGACTGTGGGTGGATGTTTGTCATCTCAGCTAGCATAGCCCATATCCTCTAAAGTCTGAAAGACAATGAAACCAGTAACGGAGAAACTTGGAGGATTTTTATAAATCTAGAGCATTGGCCAACAGTGTCTTTTTCTGTTGACGTGCCTAGGTAGAAACCTGATAACCAGTCCTGCTTCTGGAAGTGAGTTAGTTCCTTTTAGCATTGTGATGATCCCAGGGACCACAGCAACACAGCTCTGGGAGCAGCTCCTGTTGAGTTGTGGTGAGGCCATGATTTGGCAGAGAAGCTTGGTGCACAGACCCATCCCAGGGCTGAGCAGGATCACTGCCTTCCTTTGAGTGATCACCAGAGCCTTTCCCTCCCTTTTTCCTCTGTATCGTGCAAACAGTTCACCTTCACAGCATGCAACAAACACATCTCTAGTGACTTTGAAAACAATCTTTTGAAACGGTGTGTTTGTTTATTGGTAGTCCCCTTCAGAGTGAGACTTAAGTTTCTATTTTCTTTGGCTTTCGTGGACAGAGTCAGTGAATCAGGCAAGGATACTCTCTCTACCTCTCGACTCAGAGTTGGTCCTTCCAACGCCATAACCAAAGGTTGGACCTGGTTCTTGTAACAAGGAAATCTTAAGTTTTGATCATCCTCTCAAAACCCTAGTTAGATGGTTGCATCTCTTGAGGAGACCTCAGAGGCACAGTGAACTTAAAAGATGTGACTTCCAGTGCAGCCATGCCCCTGCCTCTTAGCTGTGGTCTTAGTCTCCAGATTTATCTGTGCTTATTGAAAGCACCTGGAAGTTGAGAACAGGGTGACCATTTCTACCTGGAAGAGATGATGAGGCTTGATCATTTGAGACTATTAGTATACAATGAGAAGAGTTTTAATGAATGTGTCTTAAGGGTGTGGAGGTCTGTGAACCCAGGGCTCAGAGAAATTGAAATCACAGGTGGGAAGCTGCCTTAGCCTTTGTGAAAATACCACAGATAAAGCAACACATAAATTGCAAATAGCTTCATACAGGTTTGACTGTAACATCTTACAAGGTATTTATCATGAAAAGATCATTTGACTTCTTGGTTTTATTTTCTGAAAAATTAAAACACTGAATGGTACTGAACATGCATTGTGTTATATTTCACTTGGAAAGAGAATGTGTTGTTTATAGTAAAGATGGCCAAGTTTGGGGAGAAAGATTTATTCACACTCATCTTGTATTCAAAGCAGATGTCTATGGGTTTCCAAGAGTAGGGAGGCATTACATCATAGTAAGTTGAAGTGGGACCTAGTTGCCAGTACACACACTTTACAGACATTATCAAGCTCTCATATCATTTTAACATACATGTTCCATAGCTGTATGAGTGAATTATATAGAGATCTTTCTTTGTCTGTGTAAACCTTTGAAATAAGAACAAATTCATTTTCAACAAATATGACTCTATAGAGAACAAGGCCAAGGTCTGACTCTTAATAGATTGCATTGTGCTAGAAGAGACAACAAATGACTGAGTGGCTTGAGATGGTACCCCATGCAGGAGGAAGCCAGACATGGGGGGAGTGAAGTGAGGGGGAGCAGAGCACTTTTAGGAACATATTGTTTAGATTTTTTTCTTTTAAAATAAGATAATGACTCTTTCACACAGATCCCAAGCTGTGCAGCCGTGAGTAAATCTTATTCTGGCCATCACACACAGGCCTCAATCCCCTTTTGCTCCTGGTGCTGCCTAAGTAAGCTGTCCCCTGCCCAAGTTGTCACCAGTGTGACAGAGTGGAGATGCCCTCCATCTCCTTAGATAGCCTATCATTACCCCAGCGCTTTGGAAGGGTTGTTCTTGCCTTATAGGTTAAGCCTAAGAGGAGAGGCTGGCTGTTGCTTTCATAGGCAGATTTGATTAATAAACACATGAGCATCTTGTCGAAAACATTGTTATAAAGAAATGTGTGAGTTTGTTCATAAAACTGTATTGTGTCAAAGCAGATGGGCACAGGAGTGTGCATGTATGCATGTAAGATTTACTTCTTTTGTACAGGGAAATCTAGTAAATTTAAGATGTGAACCCATGTGCCTCTTACTATAAGATACATGTGTTTTATGATATATTTTTCAAAAATACCTATTCAGTTGAACTTCTACAAAAAGTAATATGATCAGGGTTGGGTATGGTGATCATTGCCTTTAATCACATCCCAGCACATAGAAGGCAGAAGAGCTCTGTGAGTTCAGGGCCATCGTGGTCTGTGTAGCAAGTTCCAGGTCAGCCAGAGCTACATAGTGAACCCTGCATTGTGGATGATGATGATAGTAATATGTTCATTGAAAAGTAGAGGATACTCAAATGAATTAAATTGACTCCTGTTAATAGACACTACATAACCCATTTTCTTCAGAGTCTGTCACATTGAAACTGTAAAAGCTCTCATTTTACACTTTTCATATGCATTGCTTCATTTGGGCCAATAGAAAGCTTGAGTGCACTTACATTTTGTCTACTGTACCCTTGCCAGCTCTGAGGTTTTAACAATTGAAGTTAGATTTACCAGAATTTTATTGTAGAGTTCTTTGGGGGGGGGTCATCCCATTTCTTCCCTGTTATTGCACCTTTTAGCAATTAGCACTGTAAAATAAAGTTCATTTACGTCTACTTACGCTGCCATAAGATCAACAGTCCTTAGTGTTGTCAAAGCATCAGTAAGCAGACCTTCGCCCTCTGCAAGCTTACAGTCTAAGATGTGCATTCACGGTTTCCAGCGATGCTTGAAAAGCTGGAGCATCTTAATTAAGGATGAGCCTGAAGGAATGTTTCTGTAAGGAGTTAGTATTGGAATTAGACTGAGCACAGATGACCCTGACTGGGGTGGGAATGGGCACTATTCACCAGCTCATGGGGGCCCCAATACAGTAGATGAGGTAAGGAGGGGGGCAGATGTCTGAGCTAGGACATCCATCATCCCTGCTCTGACATCCATGCCATTGCTTTGCAGAGCTAAAACTTCATCATTTCCTTCCTTTTCTTGTTGCTGGGGAAGGACTGAAATGGCTCTCCAGCTTGGACTAGGCCTGCAGCTACAGGCCTGTCTACACTTCTCTAAGCACCTGAACCAATCCCTACAGGAAGCATAGAGAAATGTATGCATCTTATCTGACCTTAGGTTACGCGTCACTCCAGAAGCATGACTCATGGTGATGGGGTTCTAAGGTGGTTTAGGAGGAGCAGAATTCTAAGGATGCATTTTCTGAGTTGCTTTGGGGGTTTCTGGTGTTGTCTTATCTCTTAGGTTTGGTTGTATTTCTTGTAGTAAAGGGCGTACCAATGGGCTGTATTCTGAAGATGTAGCCCACATGCTTCCTAGCAACCCCTTATGGGATGTAAGAAGCGGAGTGACTCCAGTCATTTCAGTACTTTTTAGGAGAATGGGGAAATGACATTGTTTGGTTATTCCCAGTATCGCCAGACCACTGTTGGATGAAAATGATGAGGTCAGGGATGGGAATTCCCAGATCAGGTACGCGTCAATGGCTTGTGCTTCTGAGTGTGTCAGGACAAGAGCTTTCTTAGCTGCACTCACGGGCATAAATTGCTAAAAGTCCACGTCAGAATCTCCCCCCCCCCATGGCTGGCTCCCAGCTCTTCCAGGACACCTGCTGGGTTAGGAAACTAATCCAGCTAAAATGTGGGAGCTCCATCCCTTTGTGAAAATGGTAAGGGCCCAGTGGTGTGGGGCGCGTTTAGCCATCCTTCTAAGGAGGTCCACATTATCAGTCACACTGCAGTTCACTCCTAAAGCTCTGGCTTTCTCTTTTGGCTCTTAGATTATTTGCTCATGGGTGGTGGAGACGTTCAGGGACAACTGTAACCCGGACACAAGGCATCAAAGAATGTTTCCCCAGACCAGCCTCTAACTCTATCCTCCTGCCTCTACCCCCAGAGTGTTGGGAGTTAGTGTAGAATCTCAAGAGTGAGGCAGACATTGATTAAACCCTCTGCTCTCCTTTCAGACTCAGAACTTGCCTTGATGTACAACGACTCCTCGGTCTTAGAGAATCATCATCTAGCTGTAGGCTTTAAGTTGCTCCAAGAAGAAAACTGTGACATTTTCCAGAATCTGACCAAAAAACAAAGACAATCTTTAAGGAAAATGGTCATTGACATTGTAAGTACCTAATAAAGCCGATTCAAGTTTCTAGGGTTGATAGGAGGTTAGGTTTGGGAAGTGGACTTGTAGAAACTGCCTTTGCTGTGGCTGGTAGAGCTCTTCTGTCATACTTCCTGCTCCCAGCAGTTGGGATTTAAGACTAGAGGCCTCAGACACACCACTCCAGGCACCCTGAACTCGGAAGACCCATGCGTCTTGGTCAGTTGATTCTGTGGGCCTCCTTCTCTTAGTGTTGCTGGCCCCCTCAGGTTCCTCCGACCCTTCCCCTGCCTCTTCTGCAGGACTCCCCGAACCCCACCCAATGTTTTGTGTTATGCCTGAGTAGCTTGGGATTCCTCACGGAGACAGTAGGGGGCTGTCTCTTACTCCTGGGAACCTTTGTCCCCCAGCTGGGTTGCCAGGTCCAGCCTTAATGTGCTGGCATGTGCTTAGTCTTAACTGTAGCTTGCTATGTGGTGGTTGCTTGATGTCCCTGGGAAGCCAGCTCTGTTCTGAAGGGAGGTGGAGGCGGGTATGAATCTGGAGGAGAGGGGAGGAAGGTAGGAGGGGGAACTGTCTGATACACTGTACGGGAGAGGACTGAAAAAGCAAAAGACTAAGGGCTCACTGTTCAGTGTTTTCTATGTTCCTCTTGGCCAGTGGCAGACAGAAGGATGACACAGAGAATGCAGTATCATCTGCCTGCCTCCCCACCCACTTAGAAATACCCTCAACTAGACTCCTTTCCCTGCGTCCATCATCCAGAGCAATCAATCTCTGGGCAGCACAAAAATCACACTAAAATTTTTCATTACATTCATTTTTTAAACCTGTTTGGGTGTGTGTACACCTGTGGACTCAGGACGCTTTGTGGGAGTCAGCTCTCTTCTTTCCACTGGTGAAAGCATCTTTACCCAGGGAGACATCATTTGCGCTAGAAGAGCAAAACAAAACCTAGCTCAAATACGTCGTGTCTGAAGTGGTCTTTGAGTAGCCTTGAGTTAGCTGGGTGCAGAGCCGTCAAGGCCCCCTAGTTCAGCAAGAAGCAGAGAAAGTAGGAAGGTCACTGGGTGTTTGCCTTGGGAGTGCTTGCCAGGTGCCTTCTGTTTCTGTGCCGTGGGTAGTTTTCTGGGCTCTAGAAAGCTTGACAGACAAGAGGAAAAAAGCGGTCCCAGGTGAACTCATTTCCGCACATCATTAGAATTCATAGTGTCTCTCCATCCCTTCTCAAACTCAAAATAATTCCTTTGTCCACTTGCAAATTCTTTGTCCTGCCAGGTACTTGCGACGGACATGTCAAAGCACATGAACCTGCTGGCTGATTTGAAAACGATGGTGGAAACTAAGAAGGTGACCAGCTCTGGCGTCCTCCTCCTTGACAACTATTCCGACAGGATCCAGGTAAATGAGCATCTGCCATCGTTCTTTATGCATATGTCATGACTCTGAACATGTCCCATCTCATAGGTCCAGAAGCTACAGGCGGGATCTTTGTCATCATCTTCTTATTATTCTTACTCTTTATTGTACATTACTTTCTGATCATGGCATCCCTTCTTCACGTTCATCCAGATTCTTCCTGACTCCCCACCGATCCAAATCCACATCCTTTTTTCCCAGAAAGCAGACCAAACAAACCAAAAACAAAAAGACAAACCACACACACAAGATCCATAAGAACACACAATTGGAAATCATTAATATACAAGCAAAAAAAAAAAAAAAAAAAAACAAAACAAAAACAAAACAAATAAGACAAAATAAATGACCATTCCTTTGTACTTAAACAGGTAGTCAAGTCATAGTGGTCTGCTCATTTGCATATGCAACCACAACAAAAACTTAACGTTCCAAAGACCAACTATTTGAGCACCTTGGAATTTAATAATGCACGAACACAGACCGTGTCTTTTCACACAACACTTAAATGCAGAAGTGGCATAACTCGGAACTATTAATACAGGTGTGAACCACAGAGGCACAGCATGGTTGGGCTGTTTGTAATACATCTGACACTACATGTATTTTTAAGTGCCATGGCTATCTGGTGTGAATTCCGAGTTTCAAACCCAGAGCAGCAGATGCTGAGTAAGGAATGCCTCCATCCACCCACCTCAGGTCCTCCAGAATATGGTGCACTGTGCAGACCTCAGCAATCCCACGAAGCCTCTGCAGTTGTATCGCCAGTGGACAGACCGGATAATGGAGGAGTTCTTCCGACAGGGGGACCGGGAGCGGGAGCGCGGCATGGAGATAAGTCCCATGTGTGACAAGCACAACGCCTCTGTGGAAAAATCACAGGTAAGGCCACAGCCCGGAAAACAGGCTGGGCCACTGCTAAAGCGTTTGGCTGCTCTAGCTTCATACCTCAAGGCATTTTGTGTTTTCCTCTTTGTTAGTTAATTTAGATTTGACATGGTAGATTCCACTTCTGTTGATGATGAGTCAAAGAACTTTCTTAGGATTTGTAGTCATGCAGCCACACAGATGGTGCTACAATTATTTCATCGTGACTGTATCCATCTAGTGTACTCCTAGACATAGGATGCTTGGCTAATCCCAGTTATCTGGATTCTCTACTAATGGGCTGTTCTCAAATCAGGCCCAGGCCCCAGACTCCACTATGTAAATAACTAGAATTTCTTTATAACATTCCTTGAGCTTGGAGTTCTACTTTGGCCAGCTAGTCGACAGGCTTACATGATTGTTCTGTTGGCTTACTCCGGTTAGTAGTCTTCTATGCAGGTTCCTTGGGGCACCGTGACTCTCTGTTGAGTTTTCCCAGGTTTCTTAGTCCCACTGGATTTCTTTTCTCTTATGGCCAGGTGGGCTTCATAGACTATATTGTTCATCCACTCTGGGAGACGTGGGCAGACCTCGTACACCCTGACGCCCAGGACATCTTGGACACTTTGGAGGACAATCGTGAGTGGTACCAGAGCACAATCCCTCAGAGCCCCTCCCCTGCACCCGATGACCAAGAGGAGGGCCGGCAGGGCCAAACTGAAAAATTCCAGTTTGAACTAACCTTAGAGGAAGACGGCGAGTCAGACACGGAGAAGGACAGCGGAAGTCAAGTGGAGGAAGACACTAGCTGCAGCGACTCCAAGACGCTATGTACTCAAGACTCGGAGTCCACGGAAATTCCCCTTGACGAGCAGGTTGAGGAGGAGGCTGTAGCCGAAGAAGAGGGAAACCAGCCCGAAACTTGTGTCATAGATGATTGTTGTCCTGACACGTAACAGTGTAAAGACTGTCACACTTTTTTTTTTTTTTTTAAGTAGAGAAAAATGTTTCCAAAGTGCATGTCTCATGCCACAACCATGGTCACACCTCACTATCATCTGCCAGGACGTTTGTTGAACAAAACTGACCTTGAACTACTCAGTCTGGCGCTCAGGAATACCGTAATCAGTTCTTTCGACTCCATGTCATCGGAGCAAGGGGGAACGTCACCACAAACATGATTTTGACATGATTTCCGCTTGGCAGAGCTGACAAAGCAGATAAAAATCAACTCCAACTGTTTTCAAGGGAGCTTGGCTCATCGGGCTGCCCAAAAGTAGATTGGATTGCAGGATTCCTTTCTTGTTTAAAAGTTTTAAGAAGAAAAGAAAGCATCCGAGGGATGGAGGGAACTTGCAGATGAGCAATGAAAACGTCACAAACAGGACACAGCTTGAGCCTGTGCCCAGGAGGAGGATGAGCCGCAGAAATTGCATACTTTTCTAATTTCAAGTCTTCCTGATACATGACTGAACAGTGTGGTTCAGTGAGCCACACTCACCTCTACATTTTGTATGATATGTAAAACAGATTTTTTTGTAGAGCTTACTTTTATTATTAAATGTATTGAGGTATTATATTTAAAACACAACAACAACAAACAAAACAAAACAACAACAACAAAAAGACTATTCAGAACTTCATCTGCCACTGGTTATTTTTTTTTTCTAAGGAGTAACTTGCAAGTTTTCAGTACCGATCAGTGCTACACTGGATGAATCTCATTTACGAATTTTCCCTGCACCTTAGAGTTCATAGCAATTAACTGATTTGTAGTGATTCGCTGTTTTATATACCAATGACTTCCGTACTTTAAAACAGAAACAACTCTATGTTGCCAGAAGCCCTTTGTGTGAGTGTCCCTATCCGCCTCCTCTTGTTTCGCCCCTCCCCCAGCCAGGAGAGCTGCTCCCCATCACTTCTCCCTTCGTGGTGTGCGAGGTGAGCATTTACTCTGTAATACTTTAATATGCATTATGTCAAACGTGTCTTAAGCCTCATAGAAGCTCAGTCATCAGTCGGTATTGTCCGAAGTAAAATGGGAGATATATAAATACCCAGTAGCTAAAAGTCAGTCTTTTTCGGGCATCTTCTTACCTACTGCCTTCAGATGCCTTTTTACTTTTCAGTGTCAGAAAGTGTGCATTTCACAAGCGTGGGTCCTTGTGGTCACCCACACATTTCATGGTCATTTTGTTGTTAACAGCCAGTCATAGTAAGAGAGACATTTTTCCTTCATGCTGCACTATTTAATATGTGTTCCAGCGTCTGCCCGAGTTCTCTTGGTGGGCTCTTATCAAGGTTATCACTATTGTTCTGACCTAGAGAAAGGAAACAGGTTATCAGGTTAGGGTTGACGTTCATTTCTGCCACATGGTTCTGTGTCATCACTAGCCTTTATTTACTCTGGGGTTGCAGAGGAAAAACATGCTAACTGCTGCATAGGCAATTCCTGAGAATGCTAGCAGACCTATATCAACAAATACCGGGACAACTGTGGTTTGAACTGCCCAATGGAAGTAAGACCTGCATGAGGCGTATCCCTGGAAAGTGACTCCAAATGTAGCAGCTACTCTCACTTAAAGGATAAGATATAAAATTTGCCATGGAGTATTATTGCTCCACAAGCTTGCCCTATAGGAAGGACTACTTCAGACACACCGAATGGAAGTTGATACCTCTGGAACCAGGGTGAGTAGTTATACAATGCAATCTAAAACACTGGATTGACAGAGCCTGCCCCAAAATAACATTAAGAGGAAATTCCAGATTCCAGCCAGCCCAGGGACTCCTTCAGCAAACCCTACCAGCATGCACCACCACAATCGGCTCCAGCCCAGGAACTCTTGATTTTACATGCTAACTCCCAGTGTTAACTTGCTGATAGCAGTTAGACTTGTTGCAGCATGTTTAGTCCAGACCTTAGTTATATTCTCAGAGTTTGGAGCCCATGTTCTTTTTCTTTTGGCATAAAAAAAGGGAGGGCATATATGAATAAATGGAAAATGAAACGATTAAAGAAAAATCATGAGTCTGAAAAAGCATCTGTAAAACTTGTCAAGGAAGTTGGGGGCTAGTCGCCAAGAAAGTAAATCATCAGCCAGGGAAATCACCCCGGCTGAACTGAAGCCTCTTGGGTATTCAATAAATTATCTCGAGTCCAAATGATGCTTAGAACCTTTGGTACCAAAAAAAAAAAAAAGTTTCTGACCTTTAGCACACAGAGCATGATAAGAATCAAGTAACTGAGTGGAGGGCCAGCCTCCTCTCCTTGTAAAAAGTGAACGAACAGAGCATAATCTGCCTTTGAGTCAGCAGACTTTTCACAAAACACTTGGGCACCTGTCTCCCTTTGCATTTTATGTACCCCTGAAGGAGGTCCAGAAGGGAAGGCAGAGTCGAAAGCCGATTCCCCCTTCTCTGAGTCATTCTCTGCTCCTTCCCGCCCTACTCATGTCGTTCCCAGAGTGCCTGCAGTCTTCACGATAAAAACGAAACTTAAAGCAGCAATATGTCGTAAACAGATCCATACCTGTTTATAACTGCACTAAGGGAGCCTTTGCTTTTTGTTGTGCTGGGTTTTGATGGCACTTGTGCTGTAACGGCATCCACTGATGGACAATCAAGCTGTAGAGGACACATAATATCCAAGAGTTAGAGACTACCGTACTATACCATCTGCTTACCATCCCCCCCACCACCCCTTTACCACGCCCCTGCTCACTCACTCACTCTCACCACTGCATTAAAAAGAACATTATACAAGAAGCTTTATCTCCTAAAATGCAATATCTGGGTACTGTATGGGGAAAACCAAGTCCAAGTTCGTATAAAACCAGTACATTTCAGCTTGCAAGTTACTGAACACAATGATGCTGTTTTGGTTTTGTTTCCCTTCACATCAGTTAAAAGACACAAGAAAACCGTGTAGATAGAACAAATCACAGATAAGGAAAAGAAAAAAACTTGAATGAAACAGATTTTACAGAAAGCTTTACGATAATTTTAATGCATTATTTATTTTTTGTGCCATGCATTTTTTTTCTCACCAAATGACCTTACCTGTAATACAGTCTTGTTTGTCTGTTTACAACTGTGTATTTATTGCAATGTACATACTGTAATGTTAATTGTAAATTATCAGTTCTTATTAAAACATCACCCCACGGTGGGATGGTGTTGACGTATTTGGAAACTCTTGGTGAGAGAATGAACTGTGTGTATACATACTCCTTCTACATTTTTCTTTTCTTCTGTAATATAGTCTTGTCATCATAGAGCTTGTTTATGGAAGATTCGAGAAGAATATAAAATGCATAAAGATATATAAATTTAAATACCATAGCTGCAGGTCTTTGGCCCCAGGGCTGTGCCTTAACTGTAACCAATATTTTCTTCTGTTTTGCTGCGTTTCAAAGTAAGGTGATAGTGAGGCTCGGGCTGGGTATTTTGTATCCAAACTCTTTACTAATTGGATTTCTGGCAATAGCTGGATTTTACAAAACTACAATCACTGCTGGAGAACCTTCTAATATTTTTGAGATACATGCTCTTGTTTCCATGGAGCATTCTGCACAGATGGTGACTGTTTCTCAGCTGAGTGCCGGGAGCCATTTCACCTGAACATATGGGATTTTTTTTTTTTTCTTACTCCCAAACATGTACTGGGGAAATGTTCTTCTCCAGTGATTGCAGAATGCCTTGTTGGCTTCCAAACCTCATAGGAGGATGAATTTGATTTATATTATTTTAATACTAATTTTTGTTCAAGATCAATTTTATGTATGTATAATACATATACATACTGTTTAAATATATACGTGCGAATCACCTAACTTAGTTATATGATGATGCCAATTCCCATAATATAATGAATTCATTCATGTCTCTGTAACAGTTTCTGTAAAACATATGTCCTTGTAGGATTGTTAAGTGTGACCTTGCACAATGGCTTGTCCTGAAGGCCATGAGAGCTTCCTGGTGGAAAAATGTGGCCACCTCTCACTACAGCCCAGCCCTTAGAATATGTGACACAGTGAAGACAGAATCTTTTTTTCTAGGAAAAATGAGCCTCCTATTATTTCATTTTATTTTTGACACAAACTGTAGATTTTAGCAGCCCTGGCCCAAAGGAATTTAATTACTTTTGTTTTAAACAGTACAAACGGGACACTATACTTACAAAATACATCCTTACTGATTTCAGTTTTTTAATTGTTTTATTTCTTTGGGTATGTTTTCAGAGTGGTAAATTTTGTGTGTGCGCATCACAGATGATTCTGTTAGTGGTTTCTTAGCCTCTCTTACAGCCCATGGGAATAGTACTGTACATCAATACCTTCATATAAAATTTTTATATGCAATGAAAATAAAAGCATGGGTTGATTCTGCCTACTTATGATTTTGTCTTTTACAAATAATGTGGTTTTAAATGGCACTTTAATCACCACACATTTCCAACAGTAATGACCTTGTTTGACGTGACAGGCTAGTTAGTGATCTCATGTCAGTACTGATATTCATAACCCAGTGAAACCAAAGATGTCAATCTTTGGATATAAAAATCCCTCAACTCACTTGTATGCCATAGAAGATAAAGCACACAGCTTTCTAAGTAGGTCCAGGAAAGGGGCCACCTGCATTTAAATATGCCATGTAGTAGACCAGAATATATCATTCTGATGTTCAAAAATTACTTAGACACCGATCTCCATGGTGCATGGGATTTGCAGTGAAGGAGACACAGGTCTGCTCCCCTGGCCTTGTTCTCTGGGTGACAGAGGCTGGGAATGGCTCACTGCACATACCCACATGCCAGCTGAGCTGAGCTCAGAACAGTGAAAAAGCTTAGTGGTGCTGGAGAGGAAGAGAGGGAGAGCAAGGTGGAGGAAGCATTTACAAAAAAAAAAAAAAAAAACCTGAGATGCAAATGAGCTTGAGATACTTGGAGAGGAAGAAGAGGGTAGACCAGCAGGCCCTGGAGCTGAGAGGCCGTTTTTAGTTGTCCCATGTAAAGAACACACAGATCTATCACTTCACCCTCTCAACCCCACTCGAGTTTCTTTGTAACACATCACAGATTGATAGGCACACACCCTTCTCTATTGTCTCCTTCCTACCGGATGTGGATGGAGGGCCCGCAAGGTCTTCCTGGCACATTCCTAGCTCTTCCCATGGGGCTAGGAGCACAATAGGTGCTCACTACATTGAATACAGCCACTGAGTTGATAATGCACATATAGAAATTTTGCAAATATCCATTCTGGCTTAATCCCAAAGCCCCCACTGACCTAAATGCATAGGTGCCCAGGTAC